AGGATTTGTTCTTTGGGGCTTATTTAGGTCTTGGCTAACTATGGATAACTATATTTAGGAGGGCTTAACTCCATTTATAGCTATCCTAGTCCTTCAATAACAGACCACTGGGATTCTTTCCTGAGTACAGATGTCTTACAAGCCTTTCCAGTTTAAAGCTTAGATTCCTCACTTGGATTTCTCCTGACACTAGATGTTCTCTCACAATTCCACAGATTCTGCTTTGTTAACAGTTTATAAATTGTATGTCGCTACTCTTTACACTGTCTTCAGGAAATAGATGGTTGTGCTATCAGTGCTTCCACTAGACACATCATGATCTTTGAAGGCCTGCCGTTTGCCCGGAACGTGGTAGAGCATCTTGGCTATTGTGGGCGCCCAGTCAGTGACAGAAAGTAGCCGACCTGACCCCTCCTAACAAGTGTATTTTCTGTTTCAGTAGATGGTCAGTTTTTGAGAAATCACGGTAGTATCTTTGCAGAATGCATAGAGCTACTTTTAGGGGTAGACGTAAAACCCTGAAATTGATTTTTTCCCCCCTTATTTACTTTTCAAAGTCTTTTTGGAGAGGGGCTTATTGTTTTTAGGGAGATTTTGGAAAACTGCATACCACAGAGTTTTCCAAAATGTAAGGTATTGCATATTTAGAATCTTTGTTCTCAAGAGGTTCGGAAGCATGGTTTCTGCTTAAATGATAGATGGTCACGGGAAAAATGAGCCTTGGAAGTCATTTGTTCTAGAGAATTGAGAAAGCTGGCTTCAGGGTGCGCATTTCGGGCTAGAGTTGCTAACTGTGGCTGTGGCATTTAGTCAGCTATACCCCGGTCTGGCATTTAGATATGTGCGGTCTCAGTTACTTCATAAAGCCGTCTTATACATTCAGCAGGGAGGAGAGTCTGTCCTGTTTTATTTATTTTTTATTTTTTTATAACATCTTTATTGGAGTATAATTGCTTTACAGTGGTGTGTTAGTTTCTGCTTTATAACAAAGTGAATCAGCTGTACATATACATATGTTCCCATATCTCTTCCCTCTTGCGTCTCCTTCCCACCCACCCTATCCCACCCCTCTAGGTGGTCACAAAGCACCGATCTGTCCTGTTTTAGAAGTAAGGAACCTGAGATCCGGACTAACTGGCGACATGGCTGGTGAGTGGCAGTCAGGATTGGAACCCAGTTTTCTAGGCTTTTAATCCATCCTTCCTCTATGGGGTGGATTCGTCCGGGCCCCTGTGCCGTGGAACCTGGCACAGTGCTTCTGTCTGCTTTTCCCCATGCTGCCATCTGCCTGCCTGTGGTGTTGCCTCTGACAGCCCAGCATTGTTGGGCAGTATTCTGGAAAGCCCCGCCTCACTCATCCTTTACAAACTCCCATTTTGACCACATCTGCAAAGTTCCAAGCTGTCTGGCTCTGCCCGGAATCCTGGTGTTTATGCTGATTTGGAAATTGCAATCGGTAGGCTAACTGTGGCTCTGCTGGTGGACTTTCACTTGGCAGGAACTGGCTCTTCATCCTGGGTGGTTTCCAGCAGGAATCTCCCTCTGCACTTCCTACCTGTGGAACCTAATCTCCATTTTTAGCACGAGGCCTCTCGGATGCTGTGCAAACCGACTTGGACACCGGTGTGCAGTTAACCAGCGTTTACTGGAGGAGAGACTCAGCAATGGAAAGGATCAGAGCTCCCCAGTCCTCATTCACTGTTTTTCAGTTGATTCATGAAATGTGACTTGCCTTCTTCCTATTCTCCAGCTCTAAAATGGTATAATAATGTGTTAACTTTTGTGAGGTACCATATATACGTGTTGCTACGGCATCGACATTCCTTACAGGAAAGCTGTTGTAAAAAGTCCAGCGTCCAAAAGTAGTGAAGACCTTGCCTGGATATTAGCAAATTTCAAGCAGCTCAGTTTAAAAGGGATTTTTCTCTTCTCAGGAAATATGGCCGCAACATTTTCTTAAGAGAATCTCTAATAAAGGAACAAACGGGGTTCATACTTTAAAAATTGGTCTTCCTTGAGTGGCTTAGTGAAAAATGGTGAAAGGTTATCAGCAAAGAACTGAGAAAGAGTAACAAACAAGCACCAGTGGAGTTACTGGATACCCCAGCAAACGCTGGGAAGAGACTGTGGGAGGTCTGAGCGCGAGTGGGTGGAGCTAGTGACCTTGGCATCTGAGGGCCCAGGAGGAGAGGGTGTCCTTGTAAGTTTCGTGTGCGCGTTAATCCCAGCTCCTTCCATGTGGTCACTCCTGGCAAAGGGGTGGCCTGTGTAGGAGCTCCGTGATGGCACTTAGGGAATCTCTTTGGGCCGGGGAGAGTGGAGTTAAAAAAAAACCTGGGCCCGTTGCCCTGAGTCTCCGTTGAGATGCCTTTTGGGGTGGCCAGGGCAGCAGGAAGGGAGGTTTTGTTTTTTTTTTTAATTTTATTTATTTATTTTTGGCTGCGTTGTCTTCCTTGCGGTGCACGGGCTTCTCACTGTGGCGGCTTCTCTTGTTGCAGAGCACGGGCACTAGGCACGTGGGCTCAGTAGTTGTGGCATGCGGGCTCAGTAGTTGCAGCGCAATGGGCTCCAGGTGCGTGGGCTCAGTAGCTGTGGCTTGCAGGCTCTAGAGCGCAGGCTCAGTAGTTGTGGTGCATGGGCTTAGTTGCTCTGCGGCATGTGGGATCTTCCTGGACCAGGGCTGAGAACCCGTGTCCCCTGCATTGGCAGGCGGATTCTTAACCACTGCGCCACCAGGGAAGTCCAAGGGAGGGGTTTTGGACTTGGGCTCTGGTGTCCTGAGCTTCGGGACTGGCATCAGGGGCACCGTTTCTTGACTGTGTGTGGAACTTGAGTGTCAAATTCCAAGAAAGTGTGTCTGTCTCTAGCGGTGATGGAGAATGAAGAAGAGACGTTGGAAATGCCACCTGGAAATAAGACCCAGTTTATCAGTTTATCGTAGAAGACTCTAGTGAAATGAGTTGTAATTTAGGGCGGAGACCTGAAATTGCTCTTCCTTGCCAAAATAAATTGATTTCTTCAGCTGTCTGAACTTCATTTCTTGAACTGGACAAGAGCTAACCTAGTCTAAATTAAACTCATTTTCCCTTAATAAAACTGGGTCACTTCAGGTTGCCTGAATGTGCTTCTGAGTGTCTTAAAGCATATATATATTTTTAAAATCCCACGTTTCATGCTCTTTTCATAACTCATCTAATTTAGCCAGCATAACACATAACAATTTTTTAATATATTTATTTATTTATTTGGCTGTGTTGGGTCTTCGTTGCTGCGCGCGGGCTTTCTCTAGTTGCGGCGAGCGGGGTCTACTCTTTGTTGTGGTGCATGGGCTTCTCATTGTCATGGCTTCTCTTGTTGCAGAGCACGGGTTCTAGGCATGCAGGCTTCAGTAGTTGTGGCTCACGGGCTCTAGAGCGCAGGCTCAGTAGTTGTGGCGCACGGGCTTAGTTGCTCCGCGGCATGTGGGATCTTCCCGGATCAGGGCTCGAACCCGTGTCCCCTGCATTGGAAGGCGGATTCTTAACCACTGCGCCACCAGGGAAGTCCAACACATAACATTCGAACTCATCTCTCCCTTGGCATTCTGCAATAGATTTGGGGTCTGTTTCTGAACTTCTACAGCTGTCAGGCAGACTGAGGCAGGAGGACATCACCATACTCCCGCAGGGGTAGGCGCTGGACAAGACAGTTCGTCCCTGCCTTGCGCAAAGAAAGCTTTGTTTTCACTGTGCCTTTTCCTGCTGGTAGGGACCGATGAACATGGATCATGGAGGTAGGAAGTCGTGTATTTTTAAAGTGATGGCATGAGTGGATTAATTTTAGAAGAGCCTTGCTCAGCCAGGTCAGAGCGTTTCTGCTTGGAGCGCTCACTTGCAGTTGGTGCCACTGGCTTCCTCTTACTTGTCAGGTGTTTGAGATGCTGAAGCCCCCAGGGTGGCATCGCACCTGCTCTGCCCTGCCCTCCCCTCCAGAAAGTTCAGCATCAACTTCCTTGGAAAACACAGGGAAGTCTCTCCTTGCGTCCTCTTCCGTCTTTCTCCTCCCTGGGAATGATCAAGGGCAGGGCCCCTGCGGATGCGTCAGGTCAGTTCTGCCTCACAGAGCCTGGCAGACACGGGTGCCCACTGGGGAATCAACGACTTGAATATGGCTTTTGGAAGACAGTGGACCCTTGAACAACGTAGGTTTGAACTGCATGGATCCACTTACACCTGAATTGTTTTCTGTGGTAAATACGACAGCACTACACGATCTGTGGGGACAGAGGGCTGACCAAAGTTCTACGCGAATTTTCAACTGTGTGGACAGTGGGTGCCCCGAACGTCTGCGTTGTTCGAGGGTCAGCTGTATTCTGAAATATAAAGGTCTAGAAATGTTGAGACTCTGGGAAATGTCTTTCAAAACCAAAAATTGGGTGAAATCTTTGTAATAATTTACTTCTATCATTCTTTAGATATTTGAAGTATCATACCATGTGAATTTTTAAGAATGGATTGTTTTTTATCTGCATTTTTAATGAATTATTCATCCCCATTTAGTTATTTATTTATTTGGCTGGGCTGGGTCTTAGCTGTGGCACACGGGATCTTCGTTGCAGCCTGCTGGGTCTTTAGTTGCGGCGTGCGAACTCTTACTTGCAGCATGTGGGATCTAGTTCCCCGACCAGGGATCGAACCTGGGCCCCGTGCATTGGGAGCACAGAATCTTAGCCAGTGGACCACCAGGGAGGTCCCCCCACCCCTTGTATTTAGAGCTATGAAAAGCTAGAAAAATTATAGGGAAATAGATGTTTTCCTATGTTTTCTTCTCTTTTAAAAAATTTGAAGAAATAACAAGTCATGTTGGGGATGGATCTCCCTCTAGTTCATCGTCCCCCCAACCCCTGCTTCTCACGCTTTAAGCTGCATTCACTCATCCTTCCTTGTTTCTTTTCATGGGATCTTCTCAACAATATGCAAACTACTTTTCACTGACAAAGCTTTTCTTCCTTCTATTTCCAGTGCACAGAGGCCAAAAAGCATTGCTGGTATTTTGAAGGACTCTATCCAACCTATTACATGTAAGTATTTGCACTTATCTGTTGGTTTGATTCTGTGGGCACATCTTTCTCTGGGAATTATTTCTTTCAACGGTTACAGGACTGGTCATGGGATGGGGCATGCCCAGCCTCACGAGGCCTCCACCCCACAATGAGCAGGCGACCTCCCTAAGGATGCTCTCCCTGCCCAGACCAGCTGCTCTGAGGACAGCATGGAATTCTGGGTGCTCTGTTCTGTGAGGCATGTTAGCTTGTACGTGATTGGTCACAAAGGGCAAAATGTCTGAACGAGGCCAGAGTTATGCTGGTTTATACAAATCTTCCTAGACAAATGGAGCAAAAGGTAGTGGGAAAGAATTTTGAACTTGAGCAGGACAGGACAAAGTACTTAGCTCAGCTGCTGTGACTGTGAGAGAGAGAGAGAGAGAGAGAGAGAGAGAGAGAGAGATGACAGTGATCACAAGGGTCACCCAGCCTGGCCCCTCCCCAGGCAGGTGCAGTCAGCCTTGTATGGCTCTTGGTTCAGGGCAGGTTATGCCTCTTCCTATGCCCTCAGCACCTGCCAATATTACTCTTATTAAAGCATTGCCATATTTTCTCCCTATTGTTTTTCTGTATTTTTAATATCTGCTGTGTTAGCCACTAGCTCTGCTGAGCCACCTGCCTAGGTGGCCAGATTAACTCTCTAGATTATTAATTATTATTTTGATAGTGTTTTGAAGTTCTGTAAGTTTTGAGTGGAATGAGCCAAATTAATTTTCCCCAGAAACTCTTCTATTGAATTTTGTGAAACATGAGAAATTTCAGTAACGCATATAATTGTGTTATAGAAGAAACACTCTCTTTTCTAGTATATAGGGAGATTGGATAGGAAATACTACACAAAGAGGATTAGTTCTTAATTGGCTAAGATATATGTTTTTCTTACCTGGCATTCTCGGGGAGTTTTTAATCTGAGAGACCAGTGTAGGTGGGGAAGGTTGCTGGGCTGTGAATGGGGACGAAGCACAGGGAAATGGGCAGTTTTCCAGCCTTGGCTTCATATCAACAAGCAGGAGTCCTTACTGCCCTGCATGGTGGGAGTCCTGGCAGAAATCCTCTGCAACTGCAAAAAGACAAAATCCACTTGGAAGGTAAAGCAGCAGCAAAAGGGCTTCGGTTCTAATTACAGAGTCGTCAGGTTGAAGAAAAATGGTTGTGGGATAAAAGGGAGATGAAAAACTTGGTTCTTAGTACAGTGGGTTTTCCCTGGGAAGCTTTAGTTCTTGATTCAACTTCTTACGCAGGTGTGGCAGGTGTGAATCAACCGTGTCTTCCTTTGAGCTCTTTCTCCAGCTGTTTTGTAGATCAGCTGATGAACCATTTCCTGGTTTTTCAGAGGTTGGTAGTCAGAGGTCCTTGCTGTTCTTGTACTTACTTGCTCGTTTGTTCCTTTATACGTTTATTTATTCACTACATATTTTGAAAGTGTTTTTGCATTGACAGAAAATACAGAGACAAGCCCTGTTTTGTCACTCAGACCTGCTGGTTTGGATTCCTTTCACCTCTCTTCTCTGCTGATAGTGAGGGGAAGGGTCCTAAAAATTAAAAAGTAAAGTCACTCTGCTTTTAGAGTACTGAAGCTCAGTATAAAAGTAACAACAGGTGACATTCATTGAGCACCTAATATAGGCTAGGCAGTTTTACGTCCCTTACATGAATTTATGTCACTTAATCCCCTAGCCATTCCTCTCCTCTCTGTTCCCACTGCCTCCACCTGAGTCCATACCTCTGTCAATGCTCATCTGAAGCACTGTATAAACTACCCCCGCCCAGTGTTACTGAGCTACAATTTGCATATAACATTGTATAGGTTTAAGGTATATAACGTGATGATTTGATACACTTATATATTACAAAATGATTACCACAATAGCGTTAGCTAACACCTACATCACATCACATAATTACATTTTTTTGGTGATGAGAACATTTAAGATGTACTCTTTTAGTAACTTTAAAGTATATAATAAAGTATTATTAACTATAATCACCATGCTGTACATTAGAGCCCCAGAACTACTTATTTATCTTATAACTGGAAGTTTGTACTCCTTAACACGTCTCCTCATTCCACGCCCCCTGCCCCAGTCCCTGGTAACCACCATTCTACCCTCTTTTTCTTTTTAATAAATTTATTTATTTATTTATTTATTTTTGGCTGCATTGGGTCTTCGTTGCTGCGCACGGGCTTTCTCTAGCTGTGGCGAGCAGGGGCTGCTCTTCATTGTGATGCACGGGCTTCTCCTTGCAGAGCACGGGCTCTAGGCGCACGGGCTTCAGTAGTTGTGGCACTCAGGCTCAGTAGTTGTAGCTCGCGGGCTCTAGAGCACAGGCTCAGTAGTTGTGGCGCACAGGCTTAGTTGTTCCGTGGCATGTGGGATCTTCCTGGACCAGGGCTTGAACCCGTGTCCCCTGCATCGGCAGGCAGACTCCCAACCACTGCGCCACCAGGGAAGCCTGGCAGGTGGATTCTTAACCACTGTGCCACCAGGGAAGTCCTACCCTCTTTTTCTAAGAGTTCTGTGTTTTAGATTCCACATGTAAGTGAGATCATAACGATTTATCTTTCTCTGTCTTATTTCGCTTAGCATAATGCCCTCAAAGTCCATCTATGTTGTTGCAAATGGCAGGATTTCCCTCTTTCTCAGGACTGAATAAAATTCCATTGTGTATATATGTACCAGATCGTCTTTATCCATTCATCCATCGACAGACAGGTTGTTTCCATGTCTTGGCTATTGTGAATGATGCTACAATGAACCATAAGATTGCAGATACCTCTTTGAGATCTTGTTTCCACTTCCTTTGCATATACACCCAGAAGTAGAATTGGCAGCTCTATTTTTAATTTTTTGCTGTTCTCCATAGTGGCTGTACCAATTTACATTCCTACCAACGGTGCACAGGGTTCACATTTTTTCCACACCAACACTTATCTTGTCTTTTTGATGATAGCCATTCTAACAGGTGTGAGGTGATACCTCTGCGTGGTTTTGGTTTGCATTTCCGTGATGATTCGTGATGATTGAGCACATTTTCTTATACCTGTTGGCTATCTCTGTGTCTTCTTTGGAAAATGATCTGTTCAGTTCCTCTGCCCATTTTTTAATTGGATTATTTGGTTTTTTTGCTGTTGAGTTATATGAGTTCCTTGTATGTTTTAGATATTAATCCCTTATCTGATATATGGTTTGCAAATATTTTCTTCCATTCAGTAGACTGCCTTTTCATTTTGTTGAGTGTTTCTTCTGCTGAACAGAAGTGTTTTAGTTTGATGTAGTCCCTTTTGTTTTTTGTGTTTTTGTGCTTTTGGTGTCATGTCCAAAGTCATTGCCAAGACCAGTGTTGAGGAGTTTCAGTTTCTTCCCTACAGTTTCTTCTAGGAGTTTTAGATCCATTTCAAGTTAATTTTTGTGAGTGGTGTAAGATAGGGGTTCAATTTCATTTTTCTCCATGTGTTTCTTCAGTTTTCCCAGAGCTATTTGTTAAAGAGACTATCTTTCCCCATTGGATGCTTTTGGCTCTTGTGTTAAATATTAGTTGACCTTTTATGCTAGGGTTTATTTCTGGGCTTTTTATTCTGTTCCATTGTCTATATTCGTGTCAGTACCAAACTGTTTTATTACTGTAGCTTTGTTGTATAATCTGAAGTCAGGGAGTGTGATACCTCCAGCTTAGTTCTTTTCAGGGTTGCTTTGGCTATTCAAGGTCTTTTGTGATTCCATACAAATTTTAGGATTGTTTTTTCTATTTCTGTAAAAATGCCATTGGAATTTTGATAGGAATTCCAGTGATGCTCTAGATGACTTTATAATGGATCTCCTTTCATTCTCTTCTCCCATCAAGTTCTCACTTCTTTCTAAATTACTGAAAATTTTGTGTCACTCTCCTACTTAAAAACATCAGGAACAAAGTTCAAATCCTTAGCCAACTGTAAACAGGTTTCCATGATACTTGGCTGGTTTTATCTTCTTTATTGTGAGTCCCATGAAGGCAAGGCCCACAGCTTTATTTAAAAATTTTTCTTATTTGTCTTTTTTTTTTAATTGAAGTAAAGTTTATTTACAATGTTGTGTTAGTTTCAGGTGTACAGCAAAGTGACTCAGTTTTATATATATATATATATATATATATATATATATAAAGAATATATATTCTTATCAGATTCTTTTCCATTATAGGTTATTACAAGGTATTGAATATAGTTCCCTGTACAACAGTAGGTCCTTGCTGTTTATCTATTTTATCTAGTAGTTGTGCCTGTTAATCCCAAACTCCTAATTTATCCTTCCCCCCCTTCCCCCTTTGGTAGCCATAAGTTTGTTCTCTATGTCTGTGAGTATATTTCTGTTTTGTATTAATGAACTTATGTAAGTTCATTTGTATAGTTTTTTAGATTCCACACATAAGTGATATCATGTGATATATGTCTTTCTTTGTCTGGTTTACTTCAGCTTAGTATGATAATCTCTAGGTCCACCCATGTTGCTGCAAATGGCATTATTTCATTCTTTTAAAAAAATTTTTGTTGCAGTGTAGTTGATTTACAATGTTGTGTTAATTTCTGCTGTACAGCAAAGTGATTCAGTTATACATATGTATATTCCTTTTCATATTCTTTTCCATTATGGTTTATCACAAGATATTGAATGTAGTTCCCTGTGCTATATGGTAGGACCTTGTTGTTTACCTATCCTGTATATTATAGCATCTGCTAATCCCAAACTCCCAACCCTTCCCTCCCCCACCCCTCCCCTTGGCAACCACAAGTCTGTTCTCTGTGTCTGTTTCTGTTTTGTAGATATGTTCATTTGTGTTGTATTTTAGATTCCACATAAAAATGATATATGGTATTTGTCTTTCTCTTTCTGACTTATTTTGCTTAGTATGATAATCTCTAGGTCCATTCATGTTGCTGCAAATGGCATTATTTCATTCTTTTTTATGGCTGAGAAATAATCCATTGTATATATGTACCA